CAATCGGTGAATCCTCTCTGTCCACCTTTTAAAACCTCCCAAATGCCCAACCGTAGAATCTACCCCAATCAAACCACTAAATCTAGGGTTGCCTCCGTGTTCTTCTTCCGCTGCTTCTTCAATACCAAAATTACGGGTTCATGGTTCAAATTGCTTCCTCGACGGTTTCTTTCCGCTACGATCTTCTTCAGAGGATGCCTCGAGGAGTCCAAATCGCTCAAGTTCTATCTTCTCCTGGAGCGTCGTTTATCACAACCTAAGATTGAAAGTCTTCNGAGAATCACGTCATTCCTCATTTTCGTCTTCATCGCGTTGTCCATCTCTCAAGAGAGATCTTCATCCACCAGCCATGGTTAGCACCCTACTTTGCACATTTCCATCATCTTCGTTGTTTTTCTCTCAAGATTGCTCACCGAACCCTATTCTCACTTTTGACGGACTAAAACCAAGATCTCTTCCATTCCCCCGATTCAATCGGTGAATCCTCTCTGTCCACCTTTTAAAACCTCCCAAATGCCCAACCGTAGAATCTACCCCAATCAAACCACTAAATCTAGGGTTGCCTCCGTGTTCTTCTTCCGCTGCTTCTTCAATACCAAAATTACGGGTTCATGGTTCAAATTGCTTCCTCGACGGTTTCTTTCCGCTACGATCTTCTTCAGAGGATGCCTCGAGGAGTCCAAATCGCTCAAGTTCTATCTTCTCCTGGAGCGTCGTTTATCACAACCTAAGATTGAAAGTCTTTCATTATATAGATTGAGTTCTACAACAAGAAATACAGATACACCCTCTTAATGTACTCTCCTCTCTAACTCCAAATCTACTATAGTAAACACATAGAAAGAATAATCCTCTTTATGCAACCCCTTTGAGATAACACACTCAAAGTAGCTAAAACTCCACAAGTTCTCTTCCTGGCCAGCAGCAATAGGGAAACCACAATCACATATGATTACAAACGATTCTAATCTTCTAGTAGAACACCTCACAGTGCAGATTGATCAGACTTTAAAAGGACAAGAACTCTTCAAGAATCTTGATTTGATTTCTTTCCAAATGAAATTTTTTCTTGATTCTTGGAGAACAGACGCTCCTGCAATTAATCACTTAACATACTTTATCATATATGAAAGTTATTATCCAAAAAGTTGTTTAATGCAAAGAGTTATGCGTCAATTTATAGATATAATAGTACTGACGCAATTTAATCGATTACGTTAATAATGTAATTGGTTAAGCAATTAACACTACTATAATAGAATTACATATAACGCATTTAACAGATTAAGCATAGCATGTAATCGATTAAGTAATGAATGCAAGTCATAACATTTAAAAATATGACTGTTAAGGTAGTTATGACTTAATCAAGAAAACAATTTTCAATTAATGCGCATTTTAACCGAATAAGAAAATTGTGTAATCGATTAAGTACAATACTTAAACACATTTGAAAACTTTTTCAACCCAAAACTCACCAATGCACTTAGTAATCAAGTATAGACGAAGACACGAGTTTCAATCGATTATACATATAATGTAATCGGTTAAAGCTTGCAGTTTTGTCAATGTTAAGCAAATACTGATATCTGATGAATCTAACAGATACATAAACATTGTAATCGATTAATTCATACAGATATGCAATGTGCAAAGAGTTTTATCAATCTTATCAATGAATATGCATGTCACAGTTAAAATCACATGTATAAGCATAGTGAATATGCATAACATATATTTCAAGCATAGTTACAAATATAAACTACAATTTTGTTATATGTGTGCAAGAAACTATAAAAACATTTATGTTATTGTCATCATCAAAAACATATATGGGATATATGGGTTTAGCTTTCGCATAGCTCCCCCTATCAACAATAGGAACGAAAAATTTCTTTTAAAAAGAAATAAGGGTACTCTTGAGAACAATGCATAATTGAGCATCAACTTTCAACCAATGGGTAACTGCAGCGGAATCAATAGTTGTCATGTTCTAAGTAATGTAATCAAGATACCCCTGACTCTTAAGTCAAAGTTTAATGTTTGAAGCCCAAGTCGCATAATTAGTACCATCTAACTTATCAATAGATAAATGCACATTGACATAGTTAGTATATATACACGGGTTAGAAGCCGTGAACAACCAAGAGAGTGAAAACCTAGAACTCGAGGCCCAATCAACACAACCAGACCATAACCCATAGGTCCTAGGATCGAAACCTGGTTTTGATATCATGTTAAATATAGTGAAAAAACTATGTATGTGATTAATCTCGCTTATGATTAATATACACATAGGATTCCTTATTTATAATAGAAGAAAAATAGGCTAAGTCCAAAATACAAATAAGAAATAATAACTAACTAAAGATAAAAAATAAATATAAAATAAAGATAATACATATAAGAATATCATTGATATTATTCTTTTAACAATATTATTGATATTGTTCTTTTAACAATATCTTATATTTAATATATATATATATATATATATATATATATATATATATATATATATATATATATTAACAATATTATGTGTAAACACAAGGAATATCCACAATAGAAATGAATAATAATAACACATGTTTATTCTCTTTGCTTTTTTTCGAAACTCTTTCTTTCTTCCTTCTTGCTATGGCAACATTATAATTCTATCTACCTTTCTTTTCAGTAACATCTTCCCTTATTATTTGATTTTAATGGTTGACCATGGCATGCGTGTTATTTTCCAAAAATAAACTAGATTGTTTAATTTATTTCATAAATTAAATAAAATGTATAAAACTAGATGAATTAAATTAATTTTATTTTGTAGAATTAAGAATTTTAAATTGTTTAAAATAATAGTTTAGTTTCCGTGAGAAAATAATTTAAATTATTTAAAATTACAGGAAATAAATTATTTTAGTTTTTAAATTGTTTAAATTACATGGACTAAGTTAAAAATTAAAGGAATTAAATTATATGTTTATTCCTTAGACCAAATTATAAAATCTACAAACTACGAAATGTGTACGTGTTGAATTGATGTTTTGTATTTATTTTTGTTGAACTTAATTCAACTTATTCAACCAGTTATTGACGTTCATGATACGACAACAGGTAAAAATATAACTCAAATTTCGACAATATTATCAAGGTTGAGATAGATATCTTTGTAGTTACAGTAAAACAACAAAGATTTTGGAGTAAATAATTGTGTTTTTTCATTACATTTTTGTACTAGATGCATTAGAGAAACTTTCATGTTAAATATTTTTGTCATACAACTATGATAATTTTAGTCATGTTTTTATTTAATTATGTTTCCTATAATTTTAACAATTACATTTAACTAGTAAATTTATTGTTTAGGTACATTGACAAATTAAGTATGAAGTAAATGAAAACATAGACATGAATTTGTTAATATGTTCAAAATTTTAAAAACACCAAGCAATACATACATATAAATGAATAAATATGACATAGATATATATATGTATATGTATGTATATATATGTATATGTATATATATATATAT